CTGTCACCTTCACGAGCCCCTTCCAGACCGGTGACTAAAGCTGCAAACTAAGAACTGAGGGATCCCCTGGCTCATCTCTAATGCCCCGACTGAACGCACACCCGTTGCACCCCGCTTCTGGGGAGAGGAAGTCAGCGCCTCTCCGCCCCCCGCTATGCCGTCTGCAGACGCCAGGATTCCTCTACGAGCTCCAGCTTGTTGGCCGCGTGAGTCAGCAGAAACAGCAGGGACAGGCTGGGGCAGCTACCAGCTCTCTGCTCGCCCCGACAACCGTCCGCCCCGCAGTGTGTCTGGCACGATAAGGGGGGCATTAAGTCTTTGCACGCCACGGGCGCAGCTGTGGGGTGCCGGCCCCTTCCTTGGCACAAATCACCCTCATGGGGGCTCATCTTTATCTATAGATTTTCTTCTCCTTGCATGTTGGGCAACTGAAGGTTGGCCCGGGATTCTGCTCTTGATTTGGTGGGGGGGTCGGCAGGGAGGCTACTAACTCTTTGGAATGTTGGGGGGCATGCCGGTATTGAGGGGACCCATAAATCACATGAGATTCTCCCTTGCAAAGGCTCCCAGTGCATGGCATGAGGCACAAGTCATATGGTTTGCCAGCACGACCTCTGTTTGTTCCAGAACATTCCCATTCCACTAAAGGAGACCCCAACTCCAAGAAGGGGGTCACTCCCCATCATGAACCCCTCCCTGTGGGTCCGCTTGTGTCTGCTTCTCTGCCTGAGCATCCTGGCTGCCAGTTTCATCCGCTTGGTCCCGAGGGTTGGAATGTTTCCCCTTGTTCATGGCCGAGTAATATTCCATCGTATAGGTGAACCCTCTTGCTCATTCACTGATCCAGGGATGGACCTTGGGGTGTTTCCACCTGAGGTTTTTTAAACTCTGGGGTGCAGACAGCAGGGCTGGCGATGCCGGCAGCTCGGAACATTCAGATGGACATAAATAGCGGCTTGGCGTGTGGTTACAGCTGCTGGTTCTGTGTGAAAAATGCCAATTTCTGGAAGAGAGAAAAAAGGAATGTGTTGTGGACAGACTCGGGGGGACTGGAGAGAACCCAGGGCAGCACGTGCAGGTGGGTGACGAAGCTCCGCTGGGCTTGGTACGGAGCGGGTGGGGCCGTTATTATGTAAAAAATGGCAAATGTGGATGTGTCCCCAAGTCCCCGCTCTTCATTTTTCTGAAACTGGAGTTATTCTCCGACCGCGTCTTCAGCCACACGGTTGTGGAAACGCTATTTTTTTCATCTAAAATGTTGCTTTTGAAGAGCACCGCGCTGTCTGGGTATTCGGGGAGTTTTCCCAGGGGCTTTCTCGAGGTCTAGTTTGCACACCCTGCGGCTCACCCGCCGGAAGGGAACAATGTCACGACCTTGGCGATGCCCGTGAGTGGCGCCAGCAGCGGCTCCTTCCGTTTTACGCATTTTCATCGTCTCTTGGAATGATCGGGGCCTTTTAGCCGCACCCCGGGACCCGGAACAGTCGCCAATCTCTGTCTCTGGACACTTGCTCAGCCTGGGGTTTGCACGACTGGGGTCGTGCCGTGTGACCTTGCGTGACTGGCTCCGTCTGAGCGCACGGCGCTTCTGTGCTCATCCACGTTGTGTATGTGTGAGGCAGCCCTTTTCGTGGCTGCGTGCTATTCCATCGCGGGGAAACAACACCCCGTGTTGACCTGCTCCTCGGCCCGTGGACCCTTTGGGTTGCTGGGAAACTTGGCTACTAGAACCTGGGGCTGGACACACACGCGCCCGCAAGCTTCCGTTTCCTTTCCCTCCGGTAGATACTCAGGTATGGACACCCCTGTCTTTTTAAGCTGTGAAATGTTGGGGTCACCCTCCCCAAGCCTCAGTTTGCACATTTGGAAACCGGTGAGTTAGTCCTGGGTGGTGCTCGGACCTCTGTGAGGAGCAAGGTCAGGTGATGGCGGATAGAGGGGCGGGCGGGAGGGAGGAGCTAGGTGCACCCCAGCAGCTGCTGCCACCCCTCCCCCTGCTTCCTGTTTTAGAAAGAGGACCCCGAGGTATACAGCGGTTTCCCCCACATTTCACAGCCTCTGTGCTCACCCACAGGACCCACCCCCAGGAGTCCTGGGTTGACTTGTTGTTTTCGTGAGGACCCCCGCCCCGCGGGACAGCGTGGCCGAGCTCGGTTCCTTCCCTAAACTGTTTTCACCCCCTTTGTGCCCCTGCATGCTCCACCGCCAGCCCCCCCTTAGCTGGCTCCTAACGCAACGACCCTTTTCTGCACCCTGCGCGGGAAGACGGGTGTTTTCTTCTGCCAAGATGGTTCACCCTCCACCCACCGGTCACTCAACCCTCTTCGTGTGGGGGTGCTGGCTCTCGACCCCGACGCCGAGATGAGCTTCTGATCCAGCAGGGGTGTTGTTCCGTGCGCAGGTGACTGGAAGCTCTGCCGGCGCGCCCCAGGGGAGGGTGAAGGAAAATCACACCTGCTCTTCCTGGGGGCGAGAGAGTGTCTTTGCCTCAGGGGAGATGAGCTCCTTGGGGAGTTAATTATCAGACTGAGCGATGATGCTGGTGGTCAGGGTGTTGGTGAGGGTGTGGGTGGGGGTGTGGGTAAGGGTGTTCGTGTGGGTGTTGTTGAGGGTGTTGTTGAGGATTAGGGTGTTGTTGAGGGTGTTGGTGAGGATTAGGGTGTTGGTGAGGGTGTTGGTGAGGATTAGGGTATTGGTGAGGGTGTTGGTGTGGGTGTTGGTGAGGGTTAGGGTGTTGGTGAGGGTGTTGGTGAGGATGAGGAGGGCATTGAGGGTGGTGGGGGTGACGAGGCCGTCACGGCTGCAGCCAGCAAGGCCCATCACAGCAGCGATCAGCTGACAGAAGCGGCCTCTCCGCCTGCTGCAAAGATCCAGATCCCTGTCCCCGGAGCCCTGGGCCCGTGCTCGGCCGCGTGCGTGACGCCAGCTGGCTTTGTCTTTGCAGACGGCGCCCCCTGGCTGCTGCGCGGGGCCGAGTCGCGCCCTCCACGGCTTCTGTGTTTAGGATTCTTCCTGCTCTGCTTCTGCTCCCAGAAACCCTTCACCATCGCGTCTCAAACACGCGAAGGTCCCCCCGCTGTTCCCCGCAGAAACAATGAGGTCTTCACGAAGAAGCCAGTCACAAGCCTGCAGCAAACAACGGAAACCCTGACTCAGCGGCTGGCTCAGCAGCTGGGCGCCCGCCCGGGACGCCGGTGCCCTCAGCGTACCCCACGCACTGCAGCTGTGCAGCAATCGGGGAGCCCCAGTTCACACAGCAGTGAATGGTTGTCCAGCAGGAAGCTCTCCACGGTGCTTCTGTGTGAGGGAGGGTGTGCGTGCTCCGGGGCCATGAGTGCACAACCAGAATCACGTGCACGCCGCTCTGTGCGGTCACGGTGGCACCAGGGAGCTCGGGCCGCCTCCACGAGCCAACGTTGCTGGCGTAGGGGGAGCTGGCAAAGGCACAGGTGGACGATCCCTGCATGGCTGCCTGGGGATGGTTTCCCGGGCCGTGGTTTCCAGCACGTTCCATGACAGGAGAGCCGGGTGGAGCTGTGGGGTCGAAATGACACGTGCAGGGTGGTTTGAAGCTTGTGTGTGAGGTCAGGCCCCACACGGCCCGCGAGACGGGCTCAGCCCATGACTGTGCAGATGCCTCGGTGACAGCTCGTCCTGTACAGAAATACGGATTTGCGGGCGACGCGGCCGCTCACCGTGGAGGGCTGGGCGGAGTGAGCTCCGCGGCCCTGGGCCGGGGCCGCTGTGAGCGCCGAGTGCCTCCCCGTCCTGCCCAGAGGGCGTCGTGCCCGCAGCCTGGTGCGGTGCCTGCGTGTTCTGTCCCTGGCGACTGTATAAGGTTTTCTCCGCTGCAGCCCGCCGCGTCGTAAGGATTCAGCCTCCAGGACGCAGAACCCGCAGATGGAGCTCACTGGGGTGACATGCGTGTGACTTGCGGTCGACAGCAGGCTGATCGGTGGCTAAGTTTGGGGGAGTCCCAAGTGATACGTGGGTGTCTCTGGTGGAGGGTGGGTGCCCTGGATGCCCTAAGGGTCAGCTGTCATCAGCTGACCAGAAGAATCGCCGGGCATTTGGGGGAGCAGATACGTCTGGACACACTTGGATGGCTAGATCGGGGCCGATGATAGTGATGGATAGATGACGTCGATCAATAGATGAACAGGAAGACAGATCATGGATCGCTTGATGGGTGGTGGTGGTGGTTGTGGACGTGGGAGCTGGATTCCGAGCCAGGAAGGGGCAGGTGCTCGGTGCTGGCCAATGGGGCCCACTGTCCTGCTTTGCCTCACCTCCCAGAAGGACCCAGGATGGTCTGGGGTCCCAAGGACCTTAGGACCCCAACACAGCGCCCCTGTAAACACTCAGGGTCTCTGCAGAGAAGCGACCTCTGGGGGCGAGAGCTCCGTGTGGCCCCACTGGGCTGCAGGGAAATGTGTGGACAGCAGGCACCGGCCGCTGAGTGTGGACACTGCCTGACCCTCCTTGCACGCTCCAGCTGGCACCTCAAAGTGCAGAAGGGGGCTGGGGGGAGACACAGGAGACATGTGCAGCCCCCCAAGAAGCAGGAGCAGACTGGGCATGGCTTCGGCGTGCTGCGGCCCCCAAGTCCACCCTCACGCTGGCCACAGCCCTCCTGCCTTTCATCTGTTGTGTCGTTGTGGTATGAAAACTTTTCTGCGCTCTGTCGCCTTAACGCCTTCAATCCCACTTTGTTTCAGACGCCAGTGGCCACGACGACCCGCCGCAGCCTCCCGTGACCCTCCAGCACCGCCCGCTGGGTCCAGAGGAGCAAGTTGGGTCAGGATGGAGAAGAGGTTGGAGTCCGCATCACGTCACACGCACACGCGAGACCCAGCAGGGCTGTGCCGGCGCTCGGTCCACTAGATGGCGGCAGACACCAGCGTCTCCCTTCTGGCGGCCTGACCGAGCGCTGCCCAGTCGTCTGGCAGCTTGCACCGCCTGGGGTCAGTGCGTGGAGGAGACGTGGGGTGCAAGGGGAGATGCGGGGTGCAAGGGGAGCGCTCCAGGGCGTGAAGCACCGTCTCCTGCGCCGTCAAAGGCACGGGTGTGCTTGGAACACGGACACGGACACGACATCCTGTCCCCGGCAGGTGCGGTCGGCCGCGAGCTGTGTGACGATTTGGGGGTCACCTGCGTCCCCAAGACATGGCCACGGGTGTGGCAGGCCTCAGGGATGTCCTGCTCTTTGCTTCGGTGATTGTCCTCTTGCCCCAGGGTATGCTCGCCGGGCGAGCCCCCTTTCACGCCGGTAATTAGACGCTTTTCTGCCGCTTGCTGCAAGGAGCAGCAGGTGCATTTCCGGAGCGGAGGACCCTGTGTCGTGGCAGGAGCCCAAGGCCGTCCTTTAAGCGGCTGTGGGGTGTATTTTGAAATCTCCAGATTCCACAAGAGGATTGATGCCCCAAGGGGGAACGTCCAGGGCTGCACATCGTTTTTCGCAGCCAACCTGCGCTGCTAAGATGCTGACGGATTTGAGACGTTCCCTGTTCCCTTCCCTGAGCGGGGAGGGGCACCCTGGTGCCCGGTGCGTGTCTGGGACTCACCCCTCAGGGTTTTCTGGTTCTGCCAAGCGGCCTGCCGGGTCCTGAGTGTGGAAACACCACACAGCACTGGCCGCAGCTGGGCCCATGTGACTCAGCCCCGGTCGCCCGACGCCCGCAGAGCCATCACACCCACCAGCAGGGAGAGAGATTCACGGAGAGAGTGGCCGCTCCGCCCCGGGCTGGCTCTTCAGAAGCTCCACCGAGGGAATCGTCAGTCAACTTTCTTCCCCTGGAATGAGAATGTCATGAGTGCGCGATGCGGTGATTCACAGAGGCCTCTAAATGAGGGTGCTTTGGCAGAAACACCCTATACGTGATGGAATACTACTCGGCGATGAACAAGGTGAGTGCATGGCAATAAAGTGGTAGATTCTGCAGGGGGAGAGGTTGGAGGGTTGGGAGGGACAGTAGGGGGTGGCGCTGTTGAAACCTACTTTATAACGAATGCCGTATAGTCCTCTGAGGTATTTAAAGCAGCTCATTATACCCCGTTATTTTTAAGAGCTTTATTAATAGGACAAATCATTTTCTCTTGAGCTCACTTAAGACAGAAGAAGTTGGTGGGGAGCATCCGGGGAAGGCTCGGGAGAATTAGGTAATTTTTAAGCACGTGAATCGAAAAATTTCAGAGCCGAGCAAAGGAATGAAAACTCGAAAGGCCTGGGCCATCCAAGAGCAGACGTGAAAGAAAGATAAAAATAGTGAGAGGCTCATGAAATCCAAAGTTAAATTTCGCCAGAAGTGGTTCTTTGTGCAAGATTAAGCACCAACTCCAAGAAAACGGTCACTGCTAAGAAAATATAAATATAAACAAATATAAATGTAAAGAACGAGCAGGCCCGGGGATTTTCGGGGAAGCAATAAAATGACAGTCTCAGAGCCGCCGCTGAGCCACCTGCCAGCTCTGTGACTTACCACCTGCGTGGGGTTTCCAGCTGGGAGCATCCGAAGGGACTGCAAACCCGTCCAGGTGATTCGTTTGGTGGTTATTTTGTTTTCCAGCATAGATTGTAAAATAGTCGATGGACGCTTTCCCGGATCAAAGAATTAAAGTCTGCCGAGGAAGGATTATGAGAAGCACCCTCTGTTGGAGAGAGAGAGAGATCAGTTTAAAATTTCAAAACATTTCAAATAGCCCCGTGTCTGCTCTTACCTTTTCCTGGCTCAGGGCTCTGGACTATTGTACCGGTTGCCCTGCTGAGAGTCTCGCAATACTCAAGGCAAGATGTTGGCTGGTTGTTCGTCTTTGATATTAATTTGCAACTAACTTTGGGCATCACAGGATCTAGACGTGCACTTGTGGAACTGACTTTCTAACTCTGTGGCCAAAAACCATTGATCCGATGGGGTCAGGTTGTGGACAGAAACTTAGTGTCCGTTAGTCAATGAGTGGATGAGGAAGAGGTGGTTTGTGTACACAGTGGAGTACTACGCAGCAATGAAAAAGGGAGATGTTGCCTCCATGGAGGCTCAAGAAGGCACAGTGTAGCCCCATTTCTAGGGGATGTGGGACTGAGGACTGTATTGTCTTTTTTTTTTTTTAAAAAAAAAAGATTTATTTTATTGATGCGTACAAGAACTGGGTACAGGCCAGAGGTGCAGGGGTGAGAGGTTCCCTAGAGACAGAGTGGGGAGCAGAACAGGGAGATCTACTGAAACACACTGCTGAGGGGAACAGGGGGGGACAGGAGAGGTCTGCTGTGCCCTGTGGGTAGCTCCATGGCCGGCCGGGGAAGGAACTCAGGCTGCAGAGGCTGCAGAGAGCTTCATAGGTTGTGTCTTAACCCCTTGCGCCACCAGGGAGACCCAGGTCTGTATTTTCTTGTTGGCCGTTGGTTGGGAGCCTCTCTCAGCTCCTCAAGTCTCTCGGTTTCTTGTCACGAGGTCCGTCCGTGGCTGTTTGCTTTTTCAAGCACAGTGATGATCTGGCCCCTCTTGACAAGACTCACCTGATTAGGTAAGACCCACCCAGGATCAGTTCCCTCCTATTAACTCCCAGGACAAATGTTAGGGGTGTTTATTTTCAACATCCCTTCCCACTGACATGCACGGTAACTTCCTTGAGAGATGGACTTTCCCCTACCAGGTAAGACCCTTGGCGATGATCCTAAACATCCTGCTTGTGCAAGGATGTAGTTGGTGTGGACACACACGGATGCAGTCTCTGTGGAAAACAGCACGGAAGTTCCTCAAAAAACTAAAACCAGGGCCTCCCCAGTGGCGCAGCGGTTGAGCGCTGGGTTGCAAGGCTGCCTGGCTGTGGTGCCGGTTCGATCCCCAGCTGCTCCCCGGCCACCAGAGGAGGGTCCCACATGGCGCGCAGACCTCTCCTGCCGCCCGCTGCTCCCCTCAGCAGTGTCCTTCGGTCCTTCTGCTGCTCTGCTCCCCGCTCTGGCTCCGGTGGATTCTCTCACCCTCCCGCGCTTCTGACTGTACCCAGTGCTTGTATAAATAAATAAATAAATAAATCTTAATAATAATAATAATAATAAACAACTAAAACCAGATCAACCACACAGAGTCGCAATTCTGGGTTGATATCTGCAGGTGTAGACACTGACTCCAGCTGTCTGACCTCAGTGTCCACTGCAAGACCATGCACAATAGAGAAGCAGAGGAAGCAGCTTAGGTGCTCAAGGACAGGTGAGTGGGTTTAGATGTGATCTGGGCCTCCCTGGTGGTGCAGGGGTTAAGCACAGGGCTGTGAAGCTGTCTGCAGGCTCTGCAGCATGAGTTCGATCCCCAGGTGGCCAGGGAGCACACCACAGGGCACAGCAGACCTCTCCCGACTCGCCTGCTGCTCCCCTCAGCCATGCATTTCAGTGGATCCACCTGTTCTGCTCCCCACCCTGTCTCTGGGGAGTCCTCTCACCCCCGCACCTCTGGCCTGTACCCCAGTTCTTTTGTGCATCAATAAATACATCTTAAAAAAAAGACGTGATCTATACACACAGTGGAATACTACTCAGCTATGAAAAAGGAAAAAGATGAACTCTTAGCATTTTCCGCAAATGGATGGAGCTGGAGGATGCTTAGCGGAATAAGTCAAAGGGAGAAGGACTCCTACTAGCGGAATAAAGAGAAACAAAACCAAGGGGCAGGAAAAGCCAAAGCATAGAAATCTGACGGCAGAATTCAAGCTGCCAAAGCGGGAGAGAGAGGGGAGAGGAGAAATTGGAAGAAGCTGGAGGACTGTGGGTGTCTTGGTGGTGGGTGTGATGCGCAAACAACCCCGAAGGGGCAGATCCTCTACCTCTGGAGCCCAAGCGGCTTCGCAAACCAATGCTACCTCGATTTAAAACTAGGAAAAATGTAAATTTAGTTCATCTTTCCGTCGTCTTTCTCTACGTCCTGCCCTGCATGGAATCACCGTGTTTATCTTTCTCTGTGGGGTCGATGCCACCCGCGCAGCCTGCCCTTGGGGCTCAGATCTTGCGTAGGTTGCTTTAAAAAATTGAGTTTAATTTCTTATTTTCAAAGTAGAGATAAATCAAGCCTCCCTCGGGGGTTGCGTGTGTGACTGGCACTTGGGAGATCAGAGTCTCCTTTCTGTGTGATTGTGTTCCCAACTGGACAAATATTAGGCTCATCCATTTTATTTGACTTTCAATTTTCGGGATTGCTTTCTTTTCTAATTCAATTACGTCCTCGCAGAGCATTGCACAGGCGCGTGTTGAGGTCGGGATGGCGTCCCCTGCTGCACTGACTGTGCTCCCCAAAGCCACCATCTCGCGCCCCGACTGTACAGTGTCACGCAAGGGGCGTGGGCAAAACCCACTAGGAGCTCACGTGTCTGCCTGGAGTCACCTGGACACTCTCTTGTTATGTAGGTTCATGCAATCAGGATACGTAACTTCTACCGGGGCCTCCCTGGTGACCTAGGGGTTGAGTCTCAGGCTGTCACCACCACGGCCTCAGTTCAATCCCCGGCCAGGGAGCAACCCACAGGGCGCAGCAGACGTGTCCTGTCTCCCCGCTGCTCCCCTCAGCAGTGGATTTCAGTAGATGCACCTGCTCTGCTCCCCCCTCTGTCTCTGCTGAGTCCTCTCTGCCCTGCACCTCTGGCCTGCACCCCAGTTTGTCTACAAAATAAATAAACATTTATAAAAAAAAACCAGAACAGTAGTTGCCTACAGGTTCCCAAATGTAGACGTAACTCATCCCCAGCGTGTCCGGGAGCTTTGAGTGTGAGGCTGAGAGAAATCTCCAGGATGTGCAGACTCAGGAGGAAGTGGGCCAGACGGGTGACCCAGGCCGCCCCGGGGTGGGCTGTGTGGCCGGACGCATGGTCCACGCGCTGCTGGGGTTCCGTCCTGGCTCCAGCAGGAAGGGGCGTCTCTGCACCCTGGTTTGCTACCTCTATTGCCTAGTAAAGGTTGGAGGGTGATGCTCGTGTCCTTCCAGGTCGAACTCACACGGGCTTATGCCTTGTGCCCCAAAACCCTGAGGCCCGTGTACACCTTTTCCCGTCTCGTCCCTGTGTTGGTTGGGGTGTAGCACCAGGGCACCAGATTCCCGACTCAGCTGTTTTTCTTTCTGGTACTCAGCGCCTGTTCTTCTTCCTGCCTTGGCAGCGACAGGAGACGTGCAATCCACACGCGTCACGTGCGCCACCTCCTGGAGGGCCGCCTGCATCACAAACCCGGAGAATTTAGGCCAAGCTGCAAAGCAGGGGATTGGAGCTTTGAGGACAAATGGGGGGCGGCTAGAAACTCCCTCTGCACAAACTGCAAAAGGGTTTGGTTCAATCTTCTGCCTGTAACTTTGTGCAGGGCTGGAAAATAGAAAAGCGCTCGAGTGACCAGCGCGGCGTTAATTAAGTGGCCGTTGGGAGGGCGGAGCCACGGGCTCTCATAGCCCGTGGTGCACATGGAATCTGTCAGTCGCTTTAATCCGTGACATCACATTGATGGGATGTCACAGGGATGAAGGATCTCCTGAGGCACAGTGTCCTTTTCTAACTCCCGCAACTTGCTGCATTGATTCGGTGACTCCATAGCTCTGATGACAACACAACCGAGGGCAGGTGCACGTGATTCTTCACGTCAGTAAGTCTCATCACTGTCACCTGGAACGGGAGATGCAGGCAAGTCGGGGGTGTGGTTCTGTCTGCATCCAAAGGTTGGCGAGTCTGTGGTCTAAGTAAAAGTCTGAGGACAGGAGACGACAAGGTGGGATGTCCCGGGTCAGGAGACAGGAGCAGAAGAGGCAAGTCCCTCCTTTATCTGACTTTTGTTGTATCTGGGCCTTCACCTGATCAGGTACGGCCCACCTGGACCCTCGCACTGATTAGGCGAGGCCCACCACACTGGGGAGGGTAATCTGCTTGACTCAGGCTGCTGA